TACAGTTGCAAGTAATGAGTTCTTTACTTGTTGATTTTTTAACGTCTACAGTGTCACTGCTCCAGTTTGCTTTTGTTAAGAACAGAAAAATTGGAAATCAAAACACAACAGCAAGAACCAAAACTCCTGGCCAAGTTGCCCACGAATTCCACAGGCTGTGATCACACTATGTGTAATGTGGGACTGTTCAAAGTAATACTACAGTGTAACAAGACGCCAGTGGGAGACATAAACCATCAGAGACAGCAGCATACTGATGTCTAATACATGCTGATCGTGACCAGCTGGAGGCTATTTATAACCCCACATATGAACCGTCCTGTGGCTGCAGGAGCAGATAAACTGTGAAGGAAACACAACAGCTGCCACAACAATGGCTATGCCCGACGTGAAACTCGGCCACGCGGAGACACGGACGGCGATTAAACTGTCATAGCACTTAGAAGCAAATCAGAGATAGACTATTTAAAAATCATTTCGTTTTAAGATTGAAGACAAAGCGGAGTGGTAGATGTTCCGGAGCTGGTAGGCTAACGTTAGCATTAGCGGCGAGACAAGTTGGACGATTCAGAGGTTAAACTGGCCACTAATCTAGGACACAGTTCCCCCTTACGATTGTTTTCCCACTAAAGATTAAATCACACATTTCAGAGAGCGACACAAAACTCAGTAACACGGTTGTTTGTCCTAGCACTCTGTGTTAGCATTGTGTGAGCGGCTCCAGTAGCCGCGAATAAAAGCTGTTCTGCGGGGATCGCTGTGAACCCAAACGCTCGTAAACATTCAAGACGAGGTGCCAGTGTTAATATCTGGCGAAGTACTGCTGAAATAATTTAAATCAACCATTTGTTAACACCGGCTAGCCGGGCCTTTGTGCTCTCACCTGTTGTCACGGACGCCATGTTCACGACTGTGTGGTGACGTCACCCGCATGCAGAAAGGTCCCCAACTTCCGGCGGATCCGGAAACATTTCGGTCGGAAAGTTTTCAGTCTGGGACGCTAGAGAGCGACGAAGACCGGAAAATCACACAAATCAATGCCAGCATCAGGTGATGTTCACTTTAATTATTTATAGGAAAATCAGAAATGCATGAATTAAAAAATAAACAAATCAAACCTAGAGTTTTATACTACAGGACATTGCTGTTTTTATGTTGCATTGCTCTGAAAAACTATGTGCCCCCTTCCTGAGTTATTTTTTATTTGTATATTTTTCTGACTTACATATTTTAGATCATCAAACAAATTCTAACATTAGTCAAAGACGTAAATAGTTGTCTTTCTCTCTGTTAGCCTGTGTCATTTCCCATAAACCACATTTCTGGAAAGCTGAGTCTATTCTCATAGCCACACCCAGCCCTGATTTCTTCCAGACTGATTGAATCAAGAAATCACTTAAAAGAACCTTTTTCACTGTCTGACAAAGTGAAGAAGGATAAATGATCTCAGAAAGCAACACGCCATGCCACACTCAAAAAAACCTTTGACATCTATCTGTCTGGAAAAAGTTACCAAGTGGTGAAACTTCACAGAACTGCCCAGCCTACTAAAACCACTGCATGAGTGCATCAACACATCCAGGTGATCACAAAAGACCCAGAATAACATCTAAAGTACTGCAGGCACCACTTGAATCAGTTAATGTCAGAGTTCATGATTCAAAAATGAGAAAGAGACTGGGTAACAAAAGGGCATCCACGGGAGAGTTATAAGGAGAAAACCACTGCTGAATAAGGCTCATCGCGCCTTTGACAAAAAATATCTGGATGATCTCCAAGACTTTGGGCAAAATATTTTGTAGCGTGATGAGACAAAGGGAGAACTACTTGGAAGGTTTGAGTTCCATTACATATAGATATACATACTTGGGTTATTTAGCAAAACACCAGCAAATCCAATGGCTCAAAAAAATGAAATGAAGGTTTTGGAATAGCCTTGTCAAAGTCTGGGCTTAAATCCTATTGAGAAGCTTTTGCATGACCTTGAACAAGGCTGTGTATGCTTGAAAACCCTCAATTTTGGCTGATTTAAAACACTTCTCCAAAGAAGGGTGAGACAAAACTCCTCCACAGTGATGTGAACGACTCATTGCAGTTATCACAAATGCTCCATTGCAGTTCTTGCTGTCAAGGGGTGGCACAACACAATAAAGGTTTAGGGTGTAGTTATTTTTTCACACAGGTTCAGGTAGGTTTGAATAGTTTTTCCCTTGATGAATTTAATAATTTAGTCATAAATAATGTAAACTGCATTTTGTATTTAACCGGGTTATTTTTTTCTTTTTTTGAATGATGTGGGGAAAAAAACACACATCATTGTTTGAACTGCTCCAGGCCACTGCTGATTGTCCATATGCAATAATGACACTCATATAACCTAACCTTTGCTGATTGGTTTGGATAAATCCATGCCTTTCTACAGCCTCACAGTGGAGGCCAGTTTTGATGTCCATTTAGGTAACCAAAAACTTGATTCTTTGTTCAGTGAATGACTATAAATGACAGCCAGTGACAGTCACTTTAAGTTTGAGGGCTGTCACTATTTGAATTTTACTGCTTACGTACGTTTGAAAATAAGCTTTTTTCTTTTAAGCAGATATGGAGCAACAGGCCTCACCTGCAGCAGCAAAAGCAAAAATACATCCGGAGTGAAGTCTCTGACCACTTGATGGAGGTAAGTATTCACTTTCTGTTTATCAGTGCTTTGTGTTCATCCTTCTAATTTCAAAAATGAAACATGAAGTGCCCTCACCCAAACAAAAAAATAATTAAAGGCACTATAAAGCTCTGCACAGCTCTGATAAGTAACATAGACATTTTACACACAGCTAATATACAGATTAATGAAAAACATTAATAAATAAGCATTTTTATAAGTCTTCTTTTTATAATCAATTTATTATACTCTTACAAGTCACTGGGTATGAGGAAAACCACAAGTTAAAAGTCGTGGGGTTGTTTTAAATTCTGATTTGAGCTTTAAACCTCACATTAATTCCATCAGTAAGACATCTCAAGAATATATCCAAGATAAAACCCTTCCTGATATACTCTGACTCTAAAAACCTTGTTCTTGCATTCATGTCCAGTGGAACTGCTGTGCTCTTTTTTTCTGGACATCCCAAAAAGATTATCCAAAGCTCTCCTGCAAGGTTATTAACTAAAGAAAAAAAAAAATAACTGGGAGTAGATCAGTCCAGTTTTAGCAGAGCTACACTGGCTTCCAGTATCTCACAGCACATCTCATTGACTTTTGACTGACTCTTACATATATGTATATAAAATCCTAAATGATCTTGGACCTTCTTATATGTCTGAAAGTTGGCTACTCTGTCCCTACTCACTTTACAATCCTTTAGTCCCAAATTGCTGGTAATTTAATCCTCCTCACAGAGAAGAACCCCTTTGAACCTCTAAATGTGAGACTGGGATGTACAAATAAACTGAATTTTGAGACTTGCCAGTGAACCTTTTGCATATTGCGTTTCATAAATACATTGTACTCGTCTATCTGCATCTTTCTGTAAATTACAGGAATTTAAACACAGAGTAAACCAAGCGTTACAACATGTTATTTCATTAATGTAAGCAAAATGTTATCTGGTTGGAGCTTGTTAAATGTAAGGATTTGTTGTAACAGTAGACATCAGATTGATTTAACATAACAAGATAGTACAGCATATAATACTTAATGTCCAAAGAACTGTGATGGATATTTTTTTTATTAATATTATTATTATTATTTTTACATTTTGTGGAATGTATGAAAATAATCATCAGGATAAAATATAAAGAAAAGAAACTGCAGTTCAGAAAAATGATACATACATGCACTTTTCAGGCTCTTGCTCAACTTCTGCAGTCTCGACTCAAGTAAATCTTTTAAGGAGCTCAAAAAGAGCAAAACAAGTGTAAAAAACACACAAGAGAAGTGCACCTCAAGATATGTTATTTATGCAATTCTTCATAAACTGGAAAAATGTAAGGCATTTAGCCAAACCATCATTAAAGGAGACAGCTCACCCAGCTCTCATAGTCTAGAAAATGAGGGAAAAAAAAAAACGTAATGTAAACTTCTTTTAAGATGGCAAAGCCAGAGGTGGAATAACGGACACAGGAGCTCACAGAGCAGAGACCGCAAAAGTGACACGGAAAATATGTCATACACTTTTGTACTCTTCCAAGATAAAAAAAAATGAAAATAAGGCTGTAAAAATAAGTAAACATTACATTTTTGTGACGTACAGAATAAATTAGGGTGATGTAAATGGACTACAAAATAGACCAGTTGATAATTTGATATCAGAGCACCTTCATGAGCACGTTATGTAATAATCCATGTATGTTTAATTACATCTTTCATAGAATTTCTTCACGCCCTTCACTTCTGTACCCATATTTATTATGTATTCCAAAACTGTAACTTTCACTCACAGAAAATAATATGAGGGTTTATTTAAAAAACAAGAAAAGATGTTGATAAAAGCAGTGGCTTTCTATAACTTTAATCTTTATGTATCATCAATATATAAATAAAAAATTATAAATTTTTTTGATACATTCTCTATGACGTTTGTCTCACACTAGATGTTATTTTAAACAATAAGGATAACGTTTAATACTGTAAGAAAACGTGTTAATTAAAGCAATACATCATCACACTTGACATATAGTAGCAGTCAGTTTGATCACTGTGTAATTTGCTACATTATGTTCATCCAAGAGGATAATAATATTGCATTTCATAACAGATGATATGAAACTGGAGCTCATATGGGAATTGTGGAAAAATAGAAATACATAGAAACATTCACCTCATCATAGAAAAATAAGAAAACTCTTTTTTTGTTTTCAGTTAATGCTAACATAGCCATCGCACAGCTGGATATTTCTTCTCGTCCTTTTGTGTCACCTTTTCCAATTTACGAGCAACCCATTTGTTATTGTAACCTCACAATTATCAAAGGAAAAATAAAAACGATTTCAATTAAATCCAAAGCAAACAAATTTCATTAAAGAATGAGTCTAATATGTTGTGTGATGATCAGAGATGTAAGTGTGGAATGCAGGTACAGTACAAGGGCCTTCTGAGATCTATTTTTTCCACACTTGGAGATGGAACAGGCAGTTGATATTAAACTATTACTGAGTATTCAGAGCTTCAGCTGCATCGAATTCACTGTTGTCAGCTTTCGTTCAGAATACAAAATTCTGATGAGACAACCAGCGTTTTCATTTGTCTGGACCTTCGGTGACTTTTCCACCGCTCAACGGTCTCATCGATGTAGTCTAGTACAAGTAGCACCACAAAAATCTATATACATGAGAACTATTGAATATGTTTTATGCTCATTCTGACACCAGAACATATTCTCATCACATTTGCATTTGGATAGAGATCAAAAAGGCATCTCCAACATCTGTACAAACACAGTCCTTATACAACATTTAAAAAACAAAACAAAAAAAACATGAGGTCTGCCCATTTTCTGACCACCCAGAGCCACTATTTAGCAAAGATTTATACCATTAATCCAGCAATTTATTTTCTTTTTGGAATAAACATGTTTATTAGTTGAAAAATAAAGCTTCTCATCCAGCAAATGCAATACAACATTTGATTTTTGGTTGTTTTTTTTTTTTTTTTAATCTCAGACAGGCAACATGTATTGTCGAGTATACCAGTGGATCAGCTTTAACATGATGACGCCCATCAATCAAGGCTGCAGTTATGCTTCAAACACTTTTTATCGGAAATGCGAACGCCACTGAGTGGCATGTTTACACTGGGTGTGAAATACTTTGTCCTTACAAATCAAACAGTTTAATCGTCATGTTTTCATCTGAACACTTACACTTTTAATATGCGCATTGACATTCAATCACTTTTTTTGCCCCTCGTTTTCTGCTAAGGAGCAAGTGGCATTAAGGTGTCAGTAGCTTTGGGACAGACCTCACAGAGGAAAACACAAACAAAACAAAGACATTACCACAACCTTCTAACATCATCATCATTAGAAACATACATTTAATGTAACTCGGATAGTGCTTTATATCGTTTATAAAACATAAATACACATTGACAGAGGCAGTGACATCGTGCTTCATGTTGAGGGACAGGGCAGTACTTTATAATATATATATATATATATATATATATGTTTGTTCATTTAGAAAAATATTGATTTTACTATTTTATCTTGTTCTTCATTGACAAAAATATCCCATTTAGATCTACAGACATTCATACATCATGGTATATATACTTTTATATATATACATGTTACCTTTAACTATGTAGATGGGTATGGACTTAAATTTTTTTTCCTCGTAGTGCACAGCATGCCTCCAAAGTTGCCAAATGAAAAAAAATACAATAAGATAATGAAACAATAAGTATGCAGATATAATAGGAACATTTGTGAAGAAATCTCCCACTTAAAACGACAAAACATACAAAAATAATAATAAACGGTAACAGTACAGGAGAAAGCGGAGGTCAATGCAAAACAATTAAACACACAAACAAATATAAACATTAAAATATATAACGGTTCTTACTCAAACATACAGGGAAAAAAAAATTACAAATTCACAGGCAAAGGAAAGGAAGCTCTACTCCAAAACAACAGCCCACACGTTCTCCCCTTTCGTTTCCAGGTCTTGCTTTTGTGCTCACTGGCCCCGTCAACCTCAATAAAGAAAGAAATAAACGGGCCAGGTGCCTCAGAGTGGACGCACTCACAATAAACGCACCTCCGCCTCATCCCCGTTAGAGAACAGAGGAGGTACAGAGACCACTGAGCCCAATGTTTAGAGGTTGTCTGAATCACTATCCCCAGAAAAGGAAAAAAAAAAGAAAAAGTCTCTCCTCTAAATAAAGGCATCGGTTCACATCTGAATGAGTGTGAGCAAAACTCTGAGCTGGTGCGCTGCAGCAAACATCTTCAGTTGTTGAAAGCGATGGCGTGAATATACGCATGTCGGCCCAGGGCGATGAGGCTCTGTGGTATGGAGGTGTTTTTACTGAGGTCACCCTTCCACACAGTTGGCAAGAGAAGATTTTTTTTCTGTGTGTTTTGTTTGTTTTTTTATTCTTTTTTTCTGTTGTTGTTTTGTTTTGTTTCCTTTTTTTTAAACTTTTGGTCACAAAAATCCGTCGTTAAAATGAGAGCCATCCTCTATCCGGACTCCCTCAGAGCCTTTCCTGCTTGCTTCCTTAATTCCTTAAGTCTCTCTATATCCTCACAACTGGTGTGTCTAATCTTCATTGTGTGAACAACATGAAAAATGGCTCAGCAGAAGACAGTGGCATCCATCTTGCATTTTTTTTTTTTTTTTGCATGTGTGTGTTCATCAATTATGCGTCTGTGTGCGTGTTCAGATTATTTAGCTGCTGTTCACTGTAAGGATTTGAGCAACGTGCTCCAAGAAAAGACTCTTCCGTTTGGTTGGGCTTGCGTCCATGTCCTTGTATGACAGGGTTCAAAGGGGGGCATGTTAGTTGAGCCGGCTTTCACTCAAGGTCCCAAGGGCTGGAGGGTGTCTTCGGGCTCTCGGGGGTCGAAGACTTCAGAGAGAAGGAGAAAGAGACAGAAGAGGAGAAAACAGAGATGGGTAGAGATGGGTCGCACAGCAGGTAGGCAGACGTCAGAAGATTTTTTTTTTTTGTGGTTTTTTTGTTAAAAAAAAAAAGAAGAAAAAGAAAAAACGAGAGAAGGAAAAAGCACAAGATTTAGTGGCGGGCTGTGACACTCAGATCCTTAACTTGCCAAGTCCAAACAGCAAATGAAGAAGCAGAGGGAAGTCGAGCAGATGAACAGTTAGAGGTGAGCGAGAGATCAGCAGCCTGTCTCCCACGAGAAGAGAACCTGAACAGAGCGTCCTTCGTCCCTATTTCAGATTTGCACAAATACATTCAGCGAGAGGAAGAGAAGCATGGAAAAGGATGGGAGCACTGGAAGAGGGGCAACCGACAGAGGGAACAAGTTAGGGGCGCTTGTGCTTGTCGGAGTGATCGTGTTGTTTCTTACTCAATCAGAGTACAAGCTTAGGAGAATTCACTGTGAATTAATCTGTTAAGCCACAGAACTTAAGATTGGCAACATGGACTCGGTTTTCGTAACCCAGTTTTATTCACCCATAATGTCCAGTTGCGAGTGTAATAGAAAACTAAAATATAGTGAATGTTAAAGGTTAGACCTAATGTGCAACTATTTGTATGGCTCTTAATTAGGATACATTTCAGAATGTGTAAACTTATAATCCAATCAGATGTAAACCATTGGTTGTTTTTGTTGTTATTTTTTTTTCTCAATCGGTGAGGCTGATCGGTACTGTGCGTGTACTTCAGCCTCTACTTCCAGCGAGAATAATGTGCGTGCGTGTTAACATGTGTATGCGTGTGTCTGTCGGTCAGTCAGAGCGCCAGCAGAGAAGGCGAGTTCAGAGAATCGGATGACTGCTCGCTACTGCTGTTCCGCTGGTTGGCACTGACCCCGCAGGCTCCCTCTGGGTAGGTGAACACAAATGAAGATGTGTATGAGGTGTTGTAGCTGCCAATGGCCGCATCGTCATGGTTAACACCACCACCACCACTGTCGCTGACCATAAGGCATGGCCCACCAGGTGCTGGCTCACTTGAGCCATAAAAAGAACTAGAGAACTCTACCTCCTGCATTATTCCAGGCTGAGGCTGCTGCTGGACTTGCTGCTGCTGTTGAACCGGAGGCTGGGACTGTGTGGAGGCCGGGTGAGCTGTGTAGGCAGGAGGCAGATAGAAAGAGTCTTCCTTCACAGTCAAGCCCACAATGGAGACAGGCGGTTGTAAGGCCTGGGGAGGCAGCTGGGACTGCACTGGAGGCAGCTGTGCTGAGCCCTGCTGAGGCTGGTCCTGGTATGGGATCTTACAGTTTGCCTGGTGAGCCACCAGCACAAACTCCAAGCGCTCTTTCTCCTTCTGTAGCTCTGAGATCTCTGCCTCCAGTTCTGCCTTTGCTTCCTCCAGTACGTCTGTCTCCTGTGGGTTGGTACAGAGGATGAAAGAAAAAATGGGGAAGAAGGAGACGGGAACAAGGCAAAGGTGGGTGAAATGGGAAGAAGATGTGGAGCAGATAGAAGAAAGGAGTGTTAGGTATGCCAATCTTCTTTGTGTTTATTCCAGTAGAAATACCTCCCTGCTTCCCCTACAGCCGTATATGCAAGGTGGCTTATAGAAGAGTATGTTAATTAGGCCTTAACTACCAAAAGTACAATAGTCTCTTTTGAGGACTGTAATTGTCTTCGCTGCAGCTAAACACCCATTACCATAATCCTCTCTCTTGTACACACATGCAAGCATTTATTACCCCACCACACGATGCTATGGGAGGTAACATAAAATATGCAATTATCATCATCATTCGCTCTGAAAGCAAGAACAGGGCCAGGCTCACCGACTGCAGTCTGTCTGTAAGTTCTCGTCTGCGATTTCGGCATTTGGCAGCAGCCAGCTTGTTCCTCTCTCGACGAACACGTCTCTTTTCTTCTTCCTCGGGTGTTAGCTAAGATAAGGAAGAATACAGATTAGCTTAAAAAAAAAAACACTGGCTATTTTAATTGACTAATTTAGCTTTAAAACACCAAATAAAAAGCTAAATTTAATCACAGCTGACAGATAAAAGTTGCTTGTGCCTGAACAGTGAACTAGCCTTCTGCCGTTTAGTAGGTTTGTGCAAATGAGAAAATACCAAAGCAAACACCAAATACACCAATTAATTACCCACCCACCCATTAGTGTTAGCACACACCACTGCTTAACATTACAGACACAGCGTTATTACCTTTACTGGCTTCCTCGTAAACAATATACCTGCAGTGCATGTGTAACATGCGAGGGTCAACAGACAAACCATTCAAGCACGCAAACTTACTAACACACCAACATCTCCATCTTCACTCACAGACTCTTCTCGTGTACGGCGAGTTCGGGCTCTGGACTGACGGACAGGGCCGGCTGCTGGCCCTGGAGTGTCTGAACTCGGTGGGGTGAATCCAGACCCCGAGGAATAACTCGGGCCTGGCATGTCAAACGGATCAACCAGTGAAGCTGGTTGGGTCATGGTCGTGGTCCCGGTGGAGCCACTCTGTCCAGAAGCCTGGGATGAGATGAGGGTTGGCTGTACCATCCACTGCAGGTCCTGACTGGTGGTGATGGCAGTGACGGTTGGCACGAATGAACCGGGCATCTCACCTCCACCACTTGTCCCTGGCCCGCTGTCCACAATGCTCAAGCCAGCACTTGCTGACACACACTCCTGAGGAGGAGATGTCGACAATTATGTTTTATGGACCAGAGCTCAGATCAGGTAGAGCAGCAAAAAAATACAGACAAATATAGAAAAACCAGTAAAAACAAGCTGGGATCTGTGCATCAGTCCGATCACTGTAGCAAACCGGATACATTTAGTACAAACATGCACTGAAATTCTCATCAGCTGCAATAAAGATCTGCTTTAAAGTGTAAAATGCTTTAAATTCAGATTTCACCTAAAACTATTTGCATCTGTTTACTATTCTCATCTGACTGTAGATAAACTACAACAAGGTGTGAAAAACCCTCTGCTCTGAATGTGGCTGAATGTATAAAACAACAGCTGAAGCGATACTAGTATTTATCATATGCTAGGAAAGTCATGCTAGGCTGCCACAAACAGTAAGAAGAATATTAACATTAATAATTTAATATGCCTGGACCCATTATGTTAACAATTACATAAAGAAAGGTTTAGGCTACCGGACGTGATACAGTGTTAAGACTGCTTAGTGATCAGACATTATACGCTAGGGATATCAAACTCATTTCACATTGTGGGCCACGTGCAGCCCACAGACATTTAATCATACATTAAACCCCTGAAATATTTTAATATAAGAAAAACAAGTGCAGTTTTAGGTGATATGACTCAGTTTTTCTAGATGATAGAGAAATTCCACTTGGGGCTTAAATTGTAAGAAATAAATCTGTAAAATTAAGGAAGAAGTTCTGTTAGCTCATTGCGCAGACTGTCCTGCAATTATAAAGCTGGAAATGTTTGTTAGCTGACAGAATGTCCTCTTTTTATTTATTTATTTTTTCTATAGTAAACTTACTTTATAAATCGTGCATTTCTATAGTAGACAGTGAAAAAACAGGAACATTCTGCCATTTAGCTGTTTATCTGTTACTACTTTGGTGAAGTATAAATAGCCGTGGGAGAAGTACAAAAGCCATAAAACCTATGAAAAAAATACAGCAAAAAATCAAAAATTTATGCACTCCTTCACATTTTCCAAAGCTGTCAAGTGGGCCAGATTAAAAACTTTTGTGGCCACTTCTGGCACTTGGGTCTTCTGTTTTACACCCCTGTTGTAGGCCTATATTACCTAGACCCAGTTTCTGACTTGTTTGCATTTCTTGATATTCATTTAACCACCATTTCCGTGGGATTTACCAAAGAGTGGGGAAATGCTATTTGTTGTAAAGGTAGGAGCCAAAACGTGTTAAGGTAACAGCCTTGGATTTCTCATTATATAGAGAATTTGAATTAAAAGGGTGTTCAAGAATGTTTTGTTTAACTTTAAGCAAAACAAAAAACAAAAAAACAACTTGAAATTTACGACTGTAGGTGTTTTTATTGTTCAAATAAAAAAGACAGGCTATTAAGTTTTCCTCTGCGCCCATGTCTAAAAATAGTCGTGGAAAGCTCAAATCTGTCGCTGGTATTTTATATTTCATACTCGGGGGAGTATCGCCGTTCATTAATATTCACTTGAAAGCGCGTTCAGACGTTTGGACGGGCGGCTCTGAGAGCGACCGCCTCCACCAATCGTTTTTCTCTAAACGGCGTCTCTCCCGCCTCCTTCCTCCTCCCCCGTCACACCCCCGGTGTTCCCCTTGGCAACGCGACGTAGCACTCCAAAATAGAACGGACATTTACGTCACGGCGAGAGGAGAGCGGAGCGAGTGGAAGGAGAGAAGCGGGGCAAAGGGGCGGGGCTGCGGCACTTACGTCGGAGAGTTCCAGAGCGCTGTCAACCGCGCTGAGCACGTTGTCAACGCCGCCACCGGGGCTACAGTCAACACACAGACGTTGAATTTACATCCAGTCATCCCGGTCATTTAAGTTCTGACTGCAGAAAGACCGGATACACCAAATGTGCTGACTTGGTGTAGTCGGTCTTCTGTTAGCGGTGACAGAGCCCACTGCTTCATAAGCCATAAATACGTTTATATTCTGTATATTTACACAACTGACACACCATGCAGAGTGTGTTTAAGCAAAAGCACATGTCATAATTAAATGACAGGTTCATACCCAGTGATCGCGTGTCAGTCATATTGCATTTTTAAACGAATAAACAATCCGAGGTAAAAACGCTCTCCGACTTTTGTTTTCACTACATTTCCAGTCTGCTGACTGGAACTTACCTGTGGAGCACTGGTGGTCGGCGGGCTCCCGAAGGAGTCCACGGAGGAAAGGTACTGGGACTCTATAGATGGAGACGAGCTTCCACGGGAACCGCTGTCTGGGTCGCCGGGAAATCCTTGGTACATCTCCCCGGGGGGGCCGAAAGAGAACGCGACACCTGCAGGTACCGGAGAGAGAGCGATGTCACCTGCAGCGGCAGGGCAGCGGCACACACAAGAAGATTACTAAAAGAGGAGAGGTACTGTAGGGAGAGAATGACTGATGTTAAACTCGGTGCACTTAACCAAAGCCAGCTGGCGCTTGCTTTAAATTAGGCTGTTCTCTCATAAATGATGGCAGGCGGTTAATAAGTAGCCTGCAGCAGCGTGTTTTATGCGTTTAAACCGGTGTCAGCAGGGAAAACTGTCTTTAAGCATCTCCTATGAAGCCGTCTGAAGCGGACAGATGCTCCCGACCTACTTTAACGCTTTCAAAAAGCGACTTTTGCTCTCAAACCGTTTGCGCTCACAGCCACAAAAAGTAAGCGTTTCTTACCTATGTAAGTCTTCTTGTTATTCCCCGGTGAAACGCTCTTGGTCTCTTTCCAAAAAAGTTGCATGAAGACTCTTAATCCAGTTCCCCGCTTTTAGACGGGGGAGGGAGGTCTACCAGTTCAATCTGCGAAAAAAGTCCTCCCCGGTTCAGCGGTAAATCCTCTCAGTGCTCTCCGTTATCCGACCTTATCAAGCGTGCAAATATACATCCATAAAGTCCGCTCACGGAACGCCGGAGGACGCTTGCTATATTACGGTGCACAGTAGCAGATCTTGTCTTATGAATGAAGCCCAGAGTAGAAGCAAGACATTTCAACGGTCTAGTCCCGCCTCGGAGTTCCGCTGACGTACATGCCCATATTTGTGCCTGATGTTGTGTTTGGTATCCTTGGTGACGTTGAGGGATTCCCTCTGCCACTGAAATGGACCAGAAGCTTACCTCGTCGACGGATAATAATAGACTTTCTTCTTTCTTCTTTTTTTTTTTGGTAATATCACGGGCACGAGATATTTCTCACCGTCTGACAATTTCTGAGAGGAAATTTTAAGAAGCTCGGGGGTGATAAATATGGAAAGTATCTATTTAGGACTCTGTTTGCGGGTGTTTTTGATTGGGACATTTATTTAGTCATAGCAATACATAATATTCCTATAATGTGGAGGTTTGTTACGTTGAAATCAGTGGCACATTTACCCAATTGTAATTGTTATTAGTCTGCTATATATTGGATAAACCCATAATATGTATTCTGCAGATATTGTAACTGGGATAGATAAGAAACATTTATTTATTTATTTCATTTATTTATAATATAATACGTAACCTGGAAAACACCAGAAGAAAAACAATGGATTAAGTTATGCAATACTCACAGCTCAGGACGGAATCCCGTCAACATGCGAGGGAAATCCTGCTGAAAAGTTTCTCAGGACACGCCCTCGGGAGTCCTCTGTGTTTGTGAGCCTAATGTTTTAATGAAAGGAAAGCCTCCTTTTCTTCTGTGCCTGAATACTCCCTAAACCCGAGGGCAGGTACGACGCCAAGCGAGGTTTTACTGCACGCCGAAAAACGACTTTTAAAAATGTATACACCTAATCTGTTATGGATTTGAGTGTGGGCAGGACAGTCAGAGAGCACTCAGAGAGTGTCAGAGCATCGGTCTTATTCACACCCCTCTCCTCCTCCTCCTCCTGAAGAAAAAAAAAGGAAAAATAAACATTAGTTGGTAAACAGCAGTGTTATTCTGACATGTACAGTGGGCAGCAGTGACGGAAATCTGCGCCTGTCATTGCAAACATCACCGGGACGAGCACAAAAGTGATTCATTATTAAAGCCTACATGCGGACAGCAGTGGGAATGTGGCAGGTGGGAGTTTGGCATTGGCTTGGGGGGAGGAGGGTCGCTCCAAGGGCCAAATGCGGGAACATGGGGTGTCAAATCATGAATGAAAATGTGAAATACAAGGCCTACGTTTTGTGTTCGTGATGTCACACAGTGTCACTGGGCGGGCTTGCTGCTGCGAGAGGGCTACGGCAATACAGTCGGTGTATGAAAAGGCGTGAGCAAAAAGGGAAGAGTTGGGGATAACGAGTTATTAGTCAGCGCCGCAACAACGTCAGAGACGAGGATCCACGGAGGACGCTGTGTCCCATCCGGACTGCCGCTACCGGTGCCGTGCGGCTGAACCGGGATGACTAACTCCGTCGATGCGAATTGTTCCTGATGGGGAATTATTAAGGTGAATGGCTGATAACGCAGGAAAGGCAGCCCACATTCACGGGGAAACAAATCGCTGCCGACTAACATTGCTGCCGCTATTTTAACACAACATATATCTAGTCCGATTAAAAATACAGACATGCTTCCCAGCGACAGAAGACGTGTTTACTTTTAATAATCTCTAAAACAAGCGGTTAAAAAGAGACACGATGTGCTAAAAGAGGCAGGGGCCATGTGCTGTACACGGGTTTGCTGAATGTGTGTAGCGTTGCGTCGCCATGGATACGCCGTTGCATCTGACGCAAGCACGTATAAATTTGGTCTTTTTTGTTATGCCGCTTAGCAACCGGTTTCCGTGGCAACCGGCTATGGGTGACAAGACAGCAGCCGCACACAATATGGCTTCCGGATTCTTTCTGCACAGAGAACAGTGGCAGCAGCGGAGAGGAGCAGAGAGCACTGCGGCGACTGTTGTTGTTTCAGCGCACTTTTAACCGTTAACGACCGTTTTTTTAAATCTTTCTTTTCCACCCGGTGCTGCCTGAACTACCCACAGGCAGTTACAGGTTCAACATCACTAAACTAGCTGTCATACCGTCCGAGCAGTCGCCGGTAAAATTCCCGACTCCATGCGCTAGTAGCTGTGTCGTAAAATATGCAGTTGGTATGGCCTCAGTTCTCATTTCGTGCAATAAACACATTCACTGTTACACAAAAAGTGGGCAGTAATTACTCCTGTACCTGCAGAAGTGATTAATTATGCATTAATTATAATGTTGTGAAACAGGTCATTAACTTTCATTACAGTGAATTAAAGGTGATCTACTCAGCGTCAATAAGTTGCTTGGATCATATAGATTATAATTAAAACAGCAACACTTTATCAGTGAACAGCAGGAGTTTGCTTTGCCAAGTGTACTCATCATCAGGTAGGGTTGCATTTGTAAAGGTTGTAAACCTAATGATGAAGTTTTTTCATAAGTTTCTTCATAGGCTCCATGGGCCTAAATAGTTAGTCACGGCTAGACTTTAGTCAGAGATGGTGTGGAGTTTCTAGACTGCAATCCTCCCTCCAGACTGTTTACTTCATCGCAAGTTTGTGTGTTTACAACTTGCGGTGGTCTAGACTTCTGCCAAGCTAGGTAAAAATGAAAAAATAGAAAGTGGTTGGTGTTGTCTAATGCCCCTGACGTGCTTTGTTTTGCTTGCCCCTGTCTCTTAGCGTATTTTCGGGAAGTCACTAACTTGCACTGTGCTCATGAGGCCAGCCCCTGTTTCCTTTTGGAAGGCGGGCCATGTTTGCTTGGTCTGGCCCAAAATACTTGTTACTAGGCAACGATTAGGCCTGTCCCACTTGAGAGCGGTGTTGTTTACACCCCTTTCTGGCTCCATATCCCAACAACATTGCATAACTCTCACAGGCTTCCCCCACCTAACTGAGAGAAATTTGATCAGATTTCTCTCCCCCAGCCAACCAAAGCGTCTCATACTCTTATGCCACAGCTCTTCTTTCGGCCACTCTACAGTTTCCTTCCTCGTCTTTGCTGTATTCTGTGTTTCGGCTGATCGGTACAGCAAAAATTAAACTGAGACGAGGACTGTTTTGTCTTTCAGTTCAAAAACCCCTCAAAGCTCATTCTTACATGATCTTTAAAGTGGTGGTTCAGGCCTCTGTAGCTGCTTGAAAACTCGTATCGTCTAAATCCAGCAGTAATTCTTTCTTGGCAAAGTTTACCGTCTCCCTCCACACCTATGTAAACATGGCCTGTGTATACTGCATTAGCTAAAGCACTTGAGGTGAAATGAAAAACGCAAAGCCCTGAATTTATTAATATTTGAATCAAGATGAAACCATAAACTTTTGAACTTTTATTTCTGCAAAGATGCACGAGTTTCCTGCCTTCCTGTTTTCAGATATTTGACAGATTTTCTTTATTATCATGGCAGTTTTTAGTGTAAAAATCATGAATACCCTCAGGACTACAAGATATGGATTAATACCAAATGCTTGCAATAAATCCTTAGTTTAAGGAGAGGACTTAAGGCAAGCTTTGGTGTTTGATTTATAGTGGCGTAGCAGTCATGTTATTTTGCACCTCCACACACCCTTTGGCTTGCGTACTAGCTGGTTTATTCTTTCAGTGATGGCGTGCAAAGAATGGAGTAAATGATTAAGATTTGTAGAGATTTCTCCGCTAATCACAGCTGACTGTCTTGTGTGTATCTTAGAGGTATGAACTCGTTGTCCTCGTTGCGAGGAGCCAAAGATTGCCTCAGTGTTATCCTCCACCTTCCCTTGACTCTCTGTAGTATTCATGTTGTTTTTCAGGCTCTGCTTGTGTCTGATTTGTCTTCGCTACATTTGTTTGGCTTTTGTTTTACTTCGCATTTGCTGGTAAACTAGTGCCTGATTTTCTGCAGATGTTACAGCCACAGTTTTTTGGTTTAGATTAGACAATATAATCCCACAGGGAGCCCACAATGAACAGTTTGTATCATGAAGTTAATGCTAACTGAATAGGAAAATTCCCATGACCTCCTTGACATCCGTGTGTGGAGAGCCAGTTCGATTATTTACACTCGCATCTTTTCCAGTCTTTCTCATTCCCATCTCCGCCGCCGCTCGCCTTTGTCCTGTTTATGTCCGCGCACTTGTGTTTATATGGTGTAATCCTTGTGGCTCATTAGGCAAGTAACAGGCTCGCGAGTTTACACGGCACACACGCACAGGGATGATTTAGAGCGGTATGTGGAGAAGGTAAAACATTCGACTGTGCATGCGTCACAACCTTGGTTGCAGACTCTTCTGAGACAAATTTTTTTTTACGTCATTTAATTTTATCTGGCTTGGTGGTATCAGGCTTCATATAGTTTTCCTCTGTGTTAAGCAGGTAAGTAGGGCTATGGTTGACCATGGCACTGCTGACCTCCTGAAAACAGGGCCTTGACAGCACTTAATGATGAAGCATAAATTAAAGAGATGCTTGCGTGCTATGTGTGAGGGAGAAATTAATGTAACATGGCAGAAAATGTAAAAATTTTAGTTTTGTTTTCTTTATCCTTTGTTTTGTTTGCTTTTTATTTTATTTGGCACGCCATCCTAAACCACTGTTTTGCAACGACAACAAGGATAATGTCTCTTTACTGTTGCCGTACTATGTTCTGAGTGACATTACTTTTTCCGTTGTGATGAAAATGCCTCTAAATAACCATCTGTGCAATTGTACACGGCGTCAGACCAATTTTTTTCCTTTTTTTCTGCTTGTAAGTGCAGCCATAAACGTCAGCATTGAGGCACAGAAACAAGAGTGGATGGCTCTATTGTATCATGCACTGCATGGGAGTCGGATGCCTAAAGTTAAATGCAATCAGTGGGTTTCAGTATTCCACAGCTCTCTGTGACTCAGACACAAGCAGCGCGTCAATCCTAGCCTACTTTCAACAGGCTCGCTGCCAGTCAGAGAGGCAAAGTGCCAGAAAGAGGGAGGGACAAGCGCAAGAGGGTGAGAGAGAGAGAGTGAGAGTGATGATGAGATCAGAGGTGGAAAG